GAAGAAGCCATATGGTTTGGTCGGGACCAGGATTGTCCAGTTCAGTTCTCCAGTGGGGGGAGGCGTGAGCTGCACGAGGAACACGACCTTCGTGCGTGTCAGCATCCAGCCAGCCTGCTTTGTGAAGACTTCGTCTCAGTGGTCTGCCGGGTGCGGACTCCCGACAAATGGCGGTCGCGGGTCGGCAGTTGCGCGCAGGTGGTCCGCAGTTGGCTGTAGTGGAAGTCTGTAGTGCCAACTTGCATTAGTTTGGCCTACAGCCAAGCCAGCATGGGTCGGTGTGCGACCGCCTGCTTCATCGAAGGTTGAGTGTGAGGCGAAGGTTCAGGGGATCCACAACATGACCCTGTCAGTATGATGGAACCACGAGCGATTTTTCACTGTGCAATCTGGAAGTTATTGAAGCTTGCCTTTTCACCTCAATCCGTCAGAGTTCACAAGATCCCCTGCAGTGGCCAGTGTAAATGCATCAAAAGCAAGAGAGAAGAGTTGCTTGTGGCCAATTGTCAGAGGCAACTCAGCGAATCCAAAGAGCACATATCGTCGGTTCCCATTGGTGGCAGGTCACCTACGCTGAGGAAGACACCCAACGTCGAGTGCTGGAGTTCTGCAGCTTGCTCGCATTCATGCACTGCTACAGTCCTAGTCAGTGGCACAGGTTTGCCAATATTGCCTTTCTCTTCCCGTGCGGTCAGGTTTGCACCGACGTGTTCACTTCAGAGCCGTTGCTGGGTTGCACTTAGAAGGAACTGCTAGCGGCTTGGTGTAAACGCTTCGCGCTGCTCAACTATGCTTACAATGGCCTTAGTGCTTGACTGCTGCGACATCTGCCTTTTCCTGGCAGTAGTTTTGGCACGCGTGAATTCCGGGATCCTTCCACGTGGTGAGTTCTCATTTCTGATGAGTGAAACGATGCCCCAGCTACGCGGTGAATGCCCCCAGAAGTCGTAGTAGGCGCGAATTTCTGGGTTTGTTTGCTGGCTGGCCAAGACGCCACGTCCCCAAATCAAAAACTGCGGCCGCTGAAGGTGCAGAACCGCAGATGGAGACGAGCTGAATGTACAGATGCTCTCCAGCGCCATCAACATGACATCAACACTACCGTGACAGCCACAGTTGGGACATGGTCACTTTGCAATGTGTCATGCCAGTGCAGCAGAGGGTGGAGACTTGTGCTGCGCACAATCCGGATGAAATCACAAAATGATTTGGGTCGACCGTGAAAAGCAGAACTCCAACAGGGCAACCCCAACAACAAGGGTGGATCCTTTTGGTTTCTCTGTCCAAGAAAACAGAGAAAAGTACCCTCAAAAGGACATGTGGCAGTTTCCTTTGTGAGAGTGTTCAGCTACATTGGAAAGCAGTGCGCCATGCTTGCAGGGACACCTTCAGCTTTGGATACCAATCTCCTGGGCAAGACTTGGGGCTGCTTGCCTTGCAAATTGAGGGGCTGTACTGAGCCGTGTGTGCAATTTAGCTTGTGAGGACGCTTCGCCCCAAAGTCATGCTAGTATGAGCGACAGATGCGCAGTCAGTCGAGGCCTTACCGCATGCTCGGGGGGCTTGTGCCTTGGCAGGTTTACAAAGATCGCTCGCTCGGAATTCGCGCAGGGCATCGGAGGGTTGCAGAGAGCCGGGCCACCTTGGGAAGGCATCCACATGTTGAAGCTAAGAGGTCAGGATTGGACTGGGACCTTCAACGCAACGGTTTCCTTTTTGGCCCACTTTTGCACTTTGTACTTGCGCAGCTCTTGTGGCAGGCTTTCAGCCTCGGGGTAACCATTGAGGAGTGCGGGGCTCAGAGTGGGTGGCATTTGCCTGCCAGACTGTTGCGTGTTTTGCGCCCCAGATGAGGTTGGCAGCAATTGGAAAACACAGATCCAACAACGTGTAGTGACTGGTGGTTGCTACCCCGCAGCACAGCTCTGGTGAACAACTCTCTCTCTCTCTCCCTCTCCTTCTCCCTCTCCCTTTCCCTCCCCCTCTCCCTCTCCCTCTCCCTCTCCCTCTCCCTTTTTGCTTTGTGTCTCCGTGTCTCCCTCTGCGTCTCCGTGTCTCTCCGTGTCTCTTTGTGTCTCTCTGAGTGTCTCTCTGAGTGTCTCTGTGTCTCTCTGTCTCTTTGTCTCTTTGTCTCTGGCTTTGCTTTTAGGAGTAACGTGTTAAGGGAGGTTCCATTCGAGCACCATAGTTCAACAAATTCGACCGGTGTCAAAACTTGAAGCTGGGTGCAACATCAGCTGAAAGGGAGTGGGGCATGCGCTGGTTCTTGCCTGGGCAAGCCTCTGAAGGTATCTTCCAAAAATATCGTGACTTGCATGTTCTGAGCTGCAGGTGCCAAGAAATGCTCTTGCTGCTGGCTGCGGACAGATGGTTCACCGAGAATTCCGCGTCTATGGTCTTTGACTGGACCGCACCTGTTGAACATGTGGGCTTTTTGTTTGCCGCCACGCTTTAGACTTTGGCATTCAAGATGACAGAAGGGGCATCCAGCAGATCGAAATGGGACGGTGAACGCTCCTGTCGTGAGCAGTCTACCCCCTTCCGCCTTTTAATAAATAGACCCCATTAGTACATACTATTTTTTCCAGACTGGCTGAAACAGCCGGGTCCCCAATACTACTTCTTAGAATAGCCCAATTTAAAACCAACACTAAACTGTCCGATGTCTCCGCCCAGACCAGCCCCAGCCTTATTGGGGGGCTCCTTGCACCAACCCAATACCAAATTCTAAATGCATACTTGCCTTTTACTAATTGGAATTGTTATTCTTCTTTTAAAATGCGCCCTTTACTTTCGAACCGCAAAAACGAAACACAACCTTGAACGGTTTTATTCAAGTTCGTTACTCGGACAATTGCGGTTTTGAGGGTTTCCCATGTCCGGGAAGGGGGGAGCCCTGTTGGACGAGGACCGAAGAGGAAATCTGGTCGACCCCACAGGACCCCATTAATTAATATGTTTTATCTCCCAAAGAGTAGTTTTTTTTTTGGGGGGGGGTCCAATTTCTCAAGATGAACCACATGAACCATGAATTGCAAATGCTTCGCGCTGACCGCCGCAGCCATTCTTGAACCATAAGCAACGCGGGCTTGAGCAAATGATGCTGGCTCGGCTGAGCAGTCTGGTGAGCTGCAGCGCAGAGCGATTGCCAGGAACTTGAACTTGAACAGCAGGGACCGGCCAACGAGGTGGAAGCGCTGGGCTTAAGCTGGCGTGGTGTTGGCTGAGCCGGGCGGAGTCTCGGATTGGGCTTGGGTCTAGGGCTGGATGGGGCTGCTGGAAGGTCATGGAGCTGCGGCTAGCGGGAACGGGGTGGGGCTGTTTGGCGGCTGTGGGTTATTGTCGTGAAAGTCAAGAGACAAAGCGCTGGCTTGCGCTGGGCGGCAGCTTGGCTGAGCTACAGGGAGGTGCAGAACAGGGCTGGCTGTTTGTGGGTCTGAGCCCAGCCACCACACGAGCGTGCTTGAACAGGCTGGCTCGGGAGGACTGAATTGGGGCGAGAGGGGTTGGGGCTGGGCGAAGGCTGCAGGAACTCAGGGTGGGGGCTCGCTTCAGGGCAGCTGAATAATTTTTTGAGTCGCATGAGTTGGGGAATGGGATTTTGGGAAGATCCCTGTGATCCAAATACGGTTTCGACCGCTTCCCAGCTCTGACAGGGCCGAGGCGAAAAAGTGATACTGCTTGTTGGTCACGTCAAAGATGCAGCATCCAGCTTCGGCCAAAGAGGATGAGCTACAACGGGAACATGGACCTGTTTACGCACAATGTGGTTGGCGCCTTAGCGTCGCCTGCTTCAGGTGGAGGATATATTCGTTATCAATATGGGTGTGCGTTGCTTGAGGATCTCCTTTTTGTGGAGGGTGGTTTCAATCAGAGTGCAAGGGACACCACCCACTTTCGGGTTTCCTTGTTTGGAGGCAAACCCTATATCTACTACCAACAGCGTACTTGGACATTTTGTCTCCTGTGTTTCTAAAGAAAAACAGTTCAATGCCGCAGCCTTGTTAGTTCCACTGCTCGAGCATGCTGCTGCCAGGTTGCATTTAGCCTGATGGAGACTGGTGTGATGACGAAGACAGCCTTATCGCAGACGTTTCCTATGAACATTGATTCAGGAGGCATTGCATACTGTACTTGCTTGCCGCCATGGAAGACCATTTTTCCCCGCGAGGTGGTTACTTCGAGCTTCAGACACTGGTCATGGTGCTGTTTGGCTTGTACGTGGTGCTGCTGCTGCCCCTCACTTCAAGCAAACTGGAGGTGTCGGTTGCCCTGGCTCGTGGTGTTGCTGAGGTATCACATCGTTGAGATGATCAAAATCGTTTGCATGAAGGTGAAGAAGCTAGATGCTTAGCTTTGAGTGTTACCCGTGCGTGGGCAGCAACATGTGCCAAAGTCCGTGCTGATTGAATGTTACCAAACGATGTCCTGCCTGATGTTGGACCCGCTCACTCATGTTCTTGGGCTGAAATGGTGCGACATTCTTGAAGTCGGATATTTGGAATGTGTGCGTGTGTGGTTGAGAGGTTGCGTGGGGTTTCTATTTAGGTTGGGGATGAGTGAATGCCTTCTCAATTCTTTTTGCTCGTAAGGTCACGCTCGCAGAAAAAGACAGCCTGGAGGTTCATGGTCGACTTCTTTTCGGAGTCATGGAATGCAGCGCGCTCGGCCGATCAAGCGTGTGTCACAAGGCCATAAGATGATCGTCGATGGACAGGTGGGCCTAATAGGGTATGTTTGTGTCAAAACACAGGGACCCCCAAAATTCACACACGCACACGCACACGCACGATTGTTAAAATGCCTCCCTGCAGCGGATGCGCCAGCTTGTTACGAAGGCCGTTGCCTGCTTGCAACGCGTCTGAAGTGCCAAAAACCTGGTTGCGGGCAGGCAACCCATAGTGATCCCTCATGTTGGCTGCTCCCGCAGAGCTCCCAGCAAATTATCCGCGTTGGATTCCATGTCTGGAGCCGCAATCCAAACCCGGGTCGCATTTGCATGGGTTTGGGAGGACTCCCTCAGTACGGGTTTTCATTCTGACTCTGGTGTTGCCGAGGTAGTAGATTCCATGTCCCTGCTCATCTCGCTTGCAACCTTCGTGCCGATTTCCCAGCTGAATTGGACATGGCCAGATTGATTCTCAGCTTTGGGCTGGAGGTCCTTTCTGATCTTCGTTTTGGACAGCTTTCGCACGACCTACAGATTTAGCATGGATGACACTGCCAAGTGAGCCATTGGGGGACAGAAAAGCAAACTGGATGTCTTTGAGAGAACTTTGAAGGATGTCCCTCTTAGACTAAAATACTCGTTCACTGTCTTCGGAATCTGAACAAGCTCCAGGCATGTTGGCAAGCGGAGGTACCCTGTGCCGAACGACGATGTGAAGCTTTACGAAATGCAGCAGGCTGTGAACCCTGTGCGCAACTTAGAGGACCGAAGCTGCTGGGGTTCGGGGGTGTCCTGTATCACGATGGGAGGACTGGTAGCTTTTTTTTTGTTACCTGCGGACAAGAGAGAGCTTGGTCATGTGTGCCCTTTGTAGTCTGTTTTGCAGACGGGGAAAGTTGCAAGGCTCTTCTCTCTTCTCTGGCATTTGCTGGATTGGGCTGCAAGTTTGGATTGTGCCTCTCAAATACACCTCCCATGGCTCATGGCTGTGGGTTCCCGTTTTTTTTTTTTTTTTTTTTTTTTCCCGATACATTGCATGTCTCCCACATTCGACGCCGGGGTTCGACATATCAGCCTGTTCAATCCTTGGTTTGATACATAATTTGGCCAATTGGTTGTTTGATTCGTGGCATCCCTCAGATATGGTTTCTGTGCTTGAGCAGGGAACTGAAGGCACGCATTCGTTTGCTTATCTATGCTCGCTAGCTTGCACGGCTTGCTTTGGTGCCTGCTGGCGTTGGCTGGTGGCCTAGCAGGCAAGCCTGCTTTCTTCCTTGCAGGCTCCTGGACAACAGGTTTGCTTACTTTGCTTCGTTTTGCTAGGCTTTGCCTTGCCTGGAGTGCATTGTCATCAAGGGGCTGCTTTTGACAGCAGCAGCTCACTTTGGCACACAGCGTTGCAGGACGACTGGTACTTCTTCAAGGAGTTTGAGAAGATTCAAGGCTCGCAGTCGTTAGGATCACGGCTCAAATCTAGGAATGCATCCAAGGTGTGTTCTTGTGCGGAAGTATCTACTTCGCAGACTTGCGTTCATTTGGAAAAGATGCAATTCATGCGACAGACTTGCACCAGCAGCCAGGTATGTACTTTTTCTTTTTACAGCTGCCCGGCCAAAGATTCATGGGCTGGGCTTTCCTTTTCGGTATTGTCATCTCAGCCCTGACTGCCTGCGTGCCTCTCTCTCTCTCTGCCACCTGCTACCAGCCCTGTGCGTGACGGTTTGCAGATTGAGAGGGAGGGGGTAACTTCAAGGGGATGGAATGGCTTTTCAGCTCCCTGTGACTCACCCAAGAGAGAGCTGTTGGAAATATACCATGCCAATGTCTCAGGTTGGCGGCGGTGAATAGCGTGTTCATTGCAGTGAAGACCATCAAGATTGTCAACAGGACTGGACTTTGACGCCGTTGGCCTGGGTTTACAGAGCTGTCTACGCCATAGCGTCGCGGCGAATCGCCATTCTAATGGATGGTTCCTTCCGTTTGCAGGTTTCGCATGTTGAAGAAATTCAGCGATACTCTTGCAAATGGCAAGGCGAGGCTCTTAGACTAGTGTTGGTTGCCGCCCGAGTCCACCCTTGCTTGTCACTAAGAGCCGGAATCTGTACTTCATCATTGTCATCAAGCTGCAGATGTCGGGCTTTGCGCTAGCCATGACGGCCGCTTGTCATCAGAGGTCAGCCCAAGAAGAAGTGGAGGGTGAAGAATGTGTCTTGCTGTGAAGGTGGATGTACCGCCTTGCCACACGATTTTGCATCGAGATTGATCCAAGTGAACTGGACTTTTCGGCACGGCTCTGCCAGTGATCCCAGGTGCTCTTTGGCACAATGGTGCTGGTCTTGGTTGTTTGGGTGTTGCTGCGCTCATCGGGCAAGCTCGATTGGCTCATTGCAGGTTGGTCTCAAAATTAGGACCCCCAACATGTGCGGTTCCCTGTCGGCGTTTCTTCCAAAGCAAAGGGCTTTGGTTCCCCAGAGAGGAGCTCTTGCCACGGAGAAGTCAACGCGAGAGGTGGAGGACTTCAGCGCGCCCATAAACACAATGGGCTCGCTGCTCTTCTGGCTCTGCGGGAGCTCGGAGCTGGAGCCCTTGCTGAAGGCCTGCGAAGCTGAACTGGGAGTGGTCTGACCTCGATGCAGTGGAACCTAAGTGCTGCTTTAATACGCCAATAGCGACATGGACAGAGTTGGCAGAGGAAATGGGTGTGCGACCAGTCATACGAGCATTTTGTGGTGCTGCCCCTGCCTTCTCCTGCGGCATCCCATCCAAAGACCGAGGGATTTTGACGGTAGGTCCACCCGGCCCTTGCCGTGGTGTTCTTCGTGGCCTTCTTGGCGCGACGCTCAGAGCTCAATCGTCTCACTCCTTGGGGTGGCGAAGGAAAGCCAAAACCGCTGTCGATGTTCTGAACGTTGAACACTAACCGCAAATCGCAGCATATGGATACGGAATCCAGCCCTTTAGGCCTGGTATGTTGATATTTTGCAGCATATTGCATATACGGGCAAACACCAATTGCTTCCAGAAGCGGATGTGCAACAGTTGAGATGTCAGACAGCAAGCAAGCGGTGCAGCCAAGCCCAACCGCATGCCGCCACGCCCAACAACTTGAGTAGCGATTGGAATCCATCATTTGTCATGGCAGTTGGTTTGCTGTATTGCTCCCTCCCTCCCTCCCTCCCTCCCTCCCTCCCTTCCTCCCTCTCTCCCTCCCTGTTTGCTTTTGTCAGTTCTGTTTGTCCCTATCACCTCATGCCTGTGTGTTGTTTTTCCGTTTGGCAATTTTCCGTGCGTCAGTGTTTTTCCCTGGCGGTTGGTTTGCCAATCGCCCAGTCGGCGTTTTGTCTTTGGTTTGGCTTGGTCTGGTTCATGTGGTTGGTATGTATTTGTTGGTTTTGTTGTTTGTGGTGTGGTGTGATGTCATGTAATGTAGTGCAATGCAATGCAATGTAAATTATTGTAATGCAATGCATATAATGTATGTGATGTGTGTGATGTATGTGATGTATGCGATGTATGTTATGTATGTGATGTATGTGATGTATGTGATGTACGTGATGCGCGCGATGCGCGCGATGCATGTGATGTATGTGATGTATGTGATGTGTGTAATGTGTGTGTGTGTATGCATGCAATGTAATGAATATGATGTGATGTGATGTGATGTGATGTGATGTGATGTGATGTGATGTGATGTATGCATGCAGGTATGTACTGTATTGTATTGTATTGGTTTGTATTGAATTGTATTGGTTGTTTTTGTATTGTAAAGTATTGTGTGTTATTGTATGGTATTGTTTTGTACTGTATTGTATTGGTTTGTATTGTATTGTACTGTATTGTAGTCAATTATCACGATGACATTTATGGCCCAGAGGTACATGAGGTAGGTTCTCATGTAGTCAGTTGCATGTTGTACATTCAAGTCAATGCCAGAGCATGATCCAATCACTGCTTTGGCTCAAGTGCTGAAAACAGCGCGTTGCTCGCGCTAACCCCAAGGTTAAGGGAGAGGTCGCAGTCACGGAGGGGTTCGTTCCTTTTAAGGTCCCGCGTTCCCCCGTTGTTGACAAAACTGTGTTTCCCTCTCCTTTGAGTGGTTATCAGCCGTAACGCTTTTCGGGTAAACAAACCTCTCCGTGACTGCGACCGTTTGGTCGCACATGGAAGCCGGCCCTCACCGCGGCACACGCGGTGGTAAGGGGCCGCGTGCCCGTTTATTCAATACCCTGCAGCAGATCGTCGTCGACGAGTACAAACGGCAGAACAGACGATTCCGGTGGGTCAGGTTCGCAGACGCCTCGAAGCAACAGGTCGAGGCGCTCTTTTCCTGGCGTGAGTCATTGGATAGTTGGCACCTGTGGGATTTTGACCAAGAGGCTTTCGAAGTGATCCGGGCCGCGGACAACGCTTATCAGCAGCGTCTCGCATTGGTTGAAACCACAGGTGTGGTCTTGCCGCAAGGTGTGCCATCTCAGGATCAAGCCGCAGCCTCAGGCGCGGCGGAAGCAGCGAGCAGTGCAGCGGACTGGCTACGACCTCCGACGCCTCCTTCAGCTTCCTCCTGGTTGCAAGATTCGCGCACTCCTTTGCCTCGCATTCGACCATCAGCAGAGGAACGACAAGTGTTGCGGGGCGCCGCCAAGACAGCGCTTCGCGGGGTGTACGCTAAAGCTGCGGAAACGCGGCGGGAGAGCAGCAGGGAACGGTCAACACAAAGATCGAGGTCCCCATCGCCCCGAAGGTCGAGGTCTCCATCATCACCTCCGAGACGAGGACCAACTGCTGCTACCCCTGTGGAACAACGGGCACACAGTGTTGAACCCGCGCTTGCGCGGGAGGCCATCCAGGACTTCCCTTGCCACACGGCCCATTGTATTGGCTCCACAGAATAGCATATACCCTGTGACACGATTTGACGAGCACGGCGCCTGGGTACTCGTTCGGGAGGCTTCACAGCCACGTGAGGCGGCGTCTCAACGCAGAGCACAGCGGACGTCTGGACAACTCCGTCAGGCTGACCCGTATTTGCTCGCGGACGAGACGTGGAGAGATCCCCCAAGAAGATCATCCACGAGCTCGCGATCACGATCTCCTGATCGACGACCAGCGCCAGCGGAGCACTTCCGCCTCGACGCCTACAGCTCGGAAGAGGAACCACCGCAAGACGCGGAATCCATCAGAACGTACGTGCCTCGGCGCGTATACGAGGCGCCGACTCACACTGAGCCCATCGCTTTGCATAGCCGGAGAAGTGGAGCAGTTCAACCGCCGCCACCAAAGGCCGTCCCAAAGGTCATTTTTGGCAGCAAGCCTCCATTGCCCAAGGAAATCCCCAGGGCAGCTTCTTCGGTACCGGCAAAAGCAGATATTCCGAGGAAATCACCGCCACGAGCAAGGTCTCCTATTCGGACTCAGAGCGCATTCGGGTACAAGGCGCCTCCGCGAGGTTTGAACAAGGCCGAACCCAGAAGCAAATCGAGCTCAAACCCACCACAATTTGGGTATATCGTCAAGCCGCCACCGCCGCAGGTCGTTAAAGCAGCTGCTGCTAGCGCTGCAACTTCCGAGGCTGGCACACGCTTTCGATCGCCACCAAGAAGGCCGCCGCCTGCGCCACCCCCGCCGCCTGGAAGGCCTGTGCCACCCAAGGAGCTTGTCATCGCTCTTGACTGGCACGGAGTTCTTGACGTTGGGCAGCAGGGACCCCACCTCAACCCGGAGGTGATCCGACATCTCGTTCAATTTGCAGCGGACTACGCACCTATAAATTTTATAGTGCTATCCTTCGTGGGCAGGGCTGCAAGCGAGTATCGCCGCCGCGAGTTCCAGGTCGCCCTGGAGCACGCGCGGGCGACATCTGGACTCACTTTCTCTGCGATAAAAATCGTACACGAAAGGTTGGGTAGGGGAGGCAAAGCAGACGCCCTTCAGGGGCTGGGCGTTCACGCCCTTATTGACGATACAGCATCGATTGTCCGTGAAGCTCAAAAGACAGGCATCGCGGCGTTCCGCAACTTCCCGCATTTCGGGCCGGGCGGATTTGCCAACGCGCTTGAGAACCTTGGTGAGTTTATCGAGTCCCGGAACAGACAATTCATTCCGGCGGCAAGGGGCCTGCATCCATCGCAGTACCTCGAGGAGCTCCACCGATCTGCATCCCAGTTGCCCGCCAGCCGGGTACTTCGATAGCCTTTCTTGCAAGCCGTTAAAACCGTCGCTTTGCGCGGTACAGCATCTTTGCAGCTACAGGCATTCGATTTGCAGACAAATTCTCAATACAGCTTGGCATCATCCCTCGATAAAGCACCATAGTGCGGCAGTGCGGATCAATCAATCTACAAGTACAATTACAAATACAGAATTCATCAGGTGCAAAGCAGCAGGGCGTATTTTCTTGAGTGGCTCACTTGAGCGTTTCGCAACCAGCTGCCAATCCAGGGATATCTCCTCGTAGCACCTTTTGACACGCTGCTCAAAGCGCGTGGAGCTAGCTTCGTGTGAGTGCAAAAGTTGCATTGCTGTGTCATGGCTTCAACGGGCTTATCACCGCCATCAGAACCCCGTTCAAGGTCAACCCCAAATAGAACCGGATGACCCTGACCTAGCCATGGTACCTGCAGCTATGTCCACAGTTCGCACATCCACGCCTCAACGAGCAGCCCAAACACGACCATCATCACCCCCGAGTGGTCCGATCGTGTCAGAACCGACATCATCCGAAGCTTCCCCAACCATTCAGTTTCCTTCACAGGGATCGCAATTACCTGACCCGATGACTAACGTACCCGCTGCGGCATTTATAGCTGGAGCTGCGGTGCAGCAAGCTCATCGAGCATCCGACCTCGCTGCGCAGGCAGCCAATCACGCCTTGCACCAACAGCAGGCCGCCGACCAGGCGAGACAAGAGGCCGGATGGATCAGGGAAAGGGCTGCAGGAGAAGTTTCAGACGTTAGGGTTCAGGCCGCTCAGCTAGCTTCGCAAGCACAGCAGGCTGTACAAACAGCACAACAAAGTGAGGCTCAGGCTAGGCAACTAATCGAGCAGACACGACAGGAAGCCATTGGCCATGTCGAGAACGCACGACAGGTTGTTAATGCCACTCAACAGGACGCTCAGCATGAGGTTCAACGCATTGTTCAAGAAGCTCAACAGGCAATCTCACAAAGAGAACAAACCATTGCCAGTCAAGAGCATACCATTCGTGGATTGTCCCAGGAAAATTCTGTGATGCATCAACGACTTGGTGATCTCGAACGTGTTGTTGCGCAACCCGCCCAACAAGCTCGTGCGACCCCTGTTCCGATGCAAGAGTCCCCGCCAAAAGCCGCATCAATAGCCGAAACAGCTACGGAAACAAGCGCGGCTAAAGCCTCAAGTCAGGGCACAGTTCCCCCAGGAACCCATCAGCCGGTTGGAGCGCCTCAGGTTTCAGATTCACAAGATGCGTCCGGTGTTGCCGCATCGTCGCAAGGGAATGCTTTTACAAGTACTATCCCCGACCCTCCGTGTGGTTCTGTTCAAAATTCAGGACTTGGTCACGATGCCCCAGCTGATTCAAGGGACCCTGGTGGGGGTGCAACAAGTCAACATCTCGTAGGCCATTCGGCAGTGCTAGGAGCAGCGTCCTCTGTTGGAGACGCAGCCCCCGGCGCGTCAAGGACTAGCGGGTTGGGTAGAGACGGTACAAGGGATCAAGCCGATGTGAGAGTGCAAGTGACGGCGTTAGCGGAAATGGTTCAACAGCTTTCCCAATTGGTTGCTAATCAAGTGGCTCCGCCACCTCCGCCTCCCGCCGCACCACCTCCAGCGCCTCCCACGCTCCTCGCAGGG